TACATCCACAAATTGTAGATGTAAAGATAATATGCATATATAATTTTATATATGCATACACTTATATTTACATAATTCTTTTACTATAGCGTGATTAAATATTCAATAATAATATTGAGCATTCAATAGATTCAACAATTGGAGTGAGTGCTCGCTGTTATTGGTGTATTCTTTTAGATCATCCAATCAGAATTTTAGATCTAGAAGAATACATCAATAGCAACGAGCACTCACTCAACTGTTGAATCTACTAAACGCAGCCATCACGTTATATAACAGAGAATATATATGTATTATTTCATTATTGAAAGTTGAATGTGTTATGCCATTGCATTTAAATGCTTTATATAGAATAGCCTTTAATGCATTGTGTAATTCAGTGTAGTGCGAATGACCGAACTCTCTAATCACACGTTTCCATAAACTTAATCGCACGATGTGAATGAAACTTTAATCCGTTTGTTCGCTAAGGCTAAGGTTGTCGCGTAAAATTAACTTTAATCGCAATTTACTCTTTTTCTTTTTCTAATTTTATGAATTAGAAAAGCATAAACAGTAAAGCAAACGAAGATTAAAGTTAATCTTATATTGGTGTAACTGAGTCTAATAAATCATTAAAAATAATGTTCAGCTGTCGATGTAAAAGCTGAACGTTATTTTTAATGTTCTAACCTTTAGGCGGCGTCCAGTGATGTTCTCCATACGATGTTTGCATTAACAGGTATTGAATAGTACCTTGAAATCGGCGAAAAATCACAAGACCGCAAGCGCGTTGCTGCAATGTCATGATGCTCAACAGCTGTAAAATCACTCACGAAGACAGTGAAGCCACTGAAACCCGCAATGCCCGTATCAAACCAGTGTTAGAAATTGCATGGAAATCGATTCGACCAATCGGAAAGCAAAGTTTCGGAATAGCGATTTGAAATTCAGGATGATATTCATAAAGTTGTTTAATTTAAAAAAATTTTTGCATTTAAAACAAGTATATATATATATATACTCTGAAATACCAATTTCATCTAATTTTCCAGTATATAATTTCAATATCGAGCAATGATTTTAATCACATGATGGAACTAATTGAATATTCCTTCTCATCAGCACTAAAAATAGAATGCAATTTTAAAAGCGATTGCTAATTATTAATTTAGAATTAATCATCTAATACACATATACATTTCTATATGTACATTTTTAATTAAAAATAATTTTTATAATTGAAGCAACGAAAATTTACTTAATTCGCTGTAAAATTTTGATAAGATGTATCATACAGGTGGAAATAAATTTTAAAAACATATTCGTCCCTTTGTGCGACTTAACGAATATTATACGAAATATTTTCGGTCTTCTTTTACTACCTTCGCAAGCAATGGTCTTCGAGTTCAGAGGAATGTAATTTTATTTTGTAACATTTTTTAATATTGTATTAGCGATATTTATAGAACCCAATACAATACTTATTTATTTCCTTTCTTGAATAGTCGTCCGATTTTTGCAAAGGAGGGTACAACTTTCATTTTTTTCGTTCAGGCATAATTTTATTTTTAAATTTTCTAATGTATCTTTCTTCATGGAAACTGAAAATTATTATGACACTTGAGAAAAAATAAAGAATAAATTTCTTAATCATATCGTTATAAAATCGCTAACAATTTTATATATATGCTTAAATCATTTAAAAATTAATTTAGAGACATATTGATTTAATTTTGAATTCATTTTTAAATTAAATAGATGACAGTAATTTCGTAATGATGTATATATAAGGATTTTATTAACTTTATTTCATACACATACATGATGTATTAATTTTTCCTTGAGTATAGTATGTCATTATTGTGATAATTTTCCAAAGAAAAATATATAAGAAAATGTAGATATAAAACCTTAAACGATCATGAAAAAAGTTGTACTCTTCTTTCTAGCTCAAATATATAGAGATGAAACTTACAATATTAAAAACTTCACGATTAGACATGTCTGTCGTAACAATTCGTTTAACTCTAAGAAGCGTATAATCAGACGTGGCAACCAACAGGTTCTGCTTCTTGAGTGAAATATTTTCCGTATTTCTATATCGTAATTATATGTACACATACACATTAATTGACAGTATCAGAAAGGAATGCGTTCACCCTCTCTCTTCACGATTTTGTCGAAAGAAAAAAAAGAAAATGTTCGACGACTCGATCATGTCGTGACACGAATTCGCACGTTTGACAGGAATCTGAATTGGGAAACAATGCATGTTACCATTTTATTATAAACGTTTTGCTACATTTTGGCTAGATACCGATCACCAGAAAACACTTAGCAAAGCTGTATATGTATGTACCTATCTACAAAGACCGACGTGTCTATGTATGTAATTCACGTATGTGTGTTATGTGCGCGTCGAGTGGTTGTCGGGCGCAGCCACGCGGGCGACTACCGGCGGAAGTAATATATTCTTTCGCGATACTTACATACAAAAAAAAATCACAAGAAAACTCCCCCGGCGTTACGCCAAATTTGATTCTAAGCGTCGCCCGTGTAGCTCCGCGATTCTAATTGTCACTTGAATCCTTCTCTCACGCGTTAAAATTATGAATGTCTTTAGATTTATATCTTCTTCTTCACTTACGCATCGATCGTTAATTTATACATTTATTTCATAAAGCAAGCCGGCGAAGGATGAATTTATGTATAGATTACGATAATTCGTCTATATGTCGGGGATGTGTATTATTAATATGCTACCTGAAGGACCTTACGTTAACAATAATAATAATAATAATAATAATAATAATAATAATGATAATCATTCCTATTGTATGTGTATATCTTTATAGAGTCATTTACAACGGCCGCTCTGGATTTAATTCCTTAAAAGTGATTGGATATATATATATGTATATATATATGTATATATATATATATATATTTCTTTTTCTCTCTTTTAGAGAAGTGTGTGAATATTTGCATCTAAATTGTCTCTCCTTAAAATGTAAATCGATAACATTATTACTATGTCGTTATATTACATTATCTCGCTTATTGGTTCATGGAGTAATCCGATGACACGAAACTGGTATGGTTATGCATAAAGAAGATAAGTCCCGATGCCAGTGCTGCGTTAATCATTTACTTAGAATTTTTGTCAAGATGTTCAGTAACAGACAATTGGCGCCGATACTTAGTTGCTATCAGTCGTTTCATGATCCGCAACACGACGTATCACGATTGTACGTCGTGCTGGCGCGCTGAAGTTATTCTGTATTTTTCAGTGTAGCAAGTGTTAGAAATGTGAAAAATCATTGAGTTTATAGTATGTAAATAAATTAATCATTGCCTATTTTAATAACGTACTTCATTAATCTTAGGCAAATATAAAAAGTTTGCGATACTTGAGTTTTAAAGTGTATTTTATGATTTTGGTGTGTGAAGTTCTCTCTCTCTCTCTCTCTCTCTCTCTCTCTCTCTCTCTCTCTCTCCCTCCTTTCTTACTTTCTTTCTCTCTTCTCATTAATTTTTAGTACCTTCGTAATTGTATACTATATACACCAAGTCTCTAGTTTCGCTCTTCTACGGTTTACGGTAATCCCTAATTTTATTTCATTCAACTGCAAATATACTTCTGAATGAAAAGATTAAATAGTACAATATAGCCAATTATAATACTTAAATTTAATTGTATTATCATATTTCTCGTAGAAATAACAGATCTTGTTATTACTGATGTAGTTTAGATTTATATTTAATTTCAATTTTTAGAATGATGAATTGTGTGTATTAATCACATGAAACACGAGTAATAACTCGATGGTATTTCTAAATTATGTTAATAATTTCTCTGCTTCTACCTTTATAGTATTATGTATACTATATATATACATATATATATATATATATATATATATATATATATATATATATACACATATATATACATGTATATATATAAAACT